AACAAAAATTATGAACAAAGGGTCAGGGAAGGGAAGGTCGTACATCATGAGAAGTGAAATTATGTTGTAGCAAGCATTTCTTTTGAACGTACCTCTTTATAACAAATGATAGGAAACTAAGTCTTACTCAGTATTAGACAAATGAGTGAGTGCGCTCATAATCTTGAGTATGTTTGACACCCAAATTCCTCACAACCATGTTAGGAATGATGGACATTTTTAAGTGACTGACTTCTCTTTTATGGCAAGACTTTCGGCTTTGTCAGTTTACTACTTGAAGAAACCGCTCAAATGGTGACGGCCAGACAATAAGAATTTATTTGACCCTTTTTATGCAACTTCGAGAACCAAATTGACCCTTTACTCCTTTTAGTACATGCCTATTGTTTTATGCTCATATATGGTCCTTTTCCGGTGATTAAAATCATCAGAAATGTATCAAAAATGGTCAAGAAAATAATAGTCAAGTACTCCCTCCGTTCTTTTTTATTAGTCTTTCTTTCCTTTTTGGGACGTTTTTTTTTATTTGTCTCCTTTCCCTTTAAGGAAAGTTTTTGAGAAAATACCCTCATTTTTATTACTTTTACCCCACTTACTTTTTACAAACTACTTTCTCTTTCCTACTTTACCATCACTTTACTCTTCTTAATACACTCTCTTTCCAACTTTATCATCATTTTACTCTTTTTAATATACCATCTTTCCTACTTTATCATTTACCCTACACACTCTATACTTACCCTACTACTTTATTATTAAATCTTGTGTCAAACCCTAAGGGGACTAATATTAAAGAACGGAGGTAGTATCAAAAGTGGATAAAGTAATTTATATGGACAAAATGTGAAATGGACATGAAACACATAAGACCAAAAGTGGAATTAACCCAATTTATATAAATGAACGGACTTTATTCACAAAAAGTTTATAGATATAAAAGTCCATCATCATCACCCTAGTGCCGCATAGGCTCCCACCTACAGTGGGGTAAGGGAAGGTCGGATGTACGCATCCTTACCTCTGTACTAAAGAACAAAGATACTGTTTCCGGATGATACATGTTAAAAATCGCATCGAAAATTGCAAAGGATTGACTGATGCTTCATAATAAAGAAGCGCAAACTATTTAGTGAGTCATTTTGCTTTATTCCATCATATTCTCAAACAACAACAAAAGTGAATCTTTAGGAGAAACGTTTCTCGTCCATCCTCACGGTCGTCTCCTAGGCACGTCCTAGGGTTTTTTCCGGCGGCGGCCTATCCAGGCCGTGGGTTCAGTCGATCTCTCCCCGGTAGGCAACTTATCTCATATATCTTCTCAGAGTATTGAATTTTGTTGTCATCGCGGGGTTTTGTTTGGTTCGTTTTTGTTTTTTTTTCGGACTTGCAATTGTGGTGAATCTGGATTCTGTCTGGACGAAGCTTTTGGTTTTTCTGCTTTACAAGAGCAGCGAACAAACGAGGAAGCTTTCAGGAGAGTTCGAGGCTTCTGATTTTGGCAAGGGACAGGTTTAGCAAGGGGAAGATGGGGTGCTGCAGAATGTTGAAGACGAAGCCGAGCTGTTATTCTTCGACAGTTTGGGAACGAGCTTTGACGAAACAGATGGCTATTGGTGATAGCATGGAGTTTCTGGCGGTCGACTTCGTGTTGTCGGACTGGAAAATCAAATTTCAGGGGTTCATTGGTGGCCTATGTGTGAAAGAAGACGAAGGGATGTTGATCCGCCCACCTCCAGAACCACCGCCTTGGAGGAATTCTGCGACTAGGGTTTGGATGAGTATTTCTATTTCTGCTGAGTCGATTGTGTTTTGTTTTTATTTTATTTCGAATGTGTTTTGCTGCTTATTTATTTTATGTTGTAAGACTTTTGCACTTGGATTGGGGGATGAGAGGCATGCGGTAATCGTCGTGGTTTTGAATATGCCCAATTTAGGATTAGCGAGTTATATTGCTTTGTCAAAGGTGATTAACTCAGAGTCTCATCCACGGGCGGATGGTTATTGTGGTCCTTTTGTCATTTCAACCCCTTTCTGAGTGCTTTTTATGAATGAATGTCTGTTCGATGATAAAAAAAAAAAGTGAATCTTTGGCTTCATTGCAAATGATGGAAAAAGATATAAAAGTCCATATACTTCTTAATTATTTCTATCATTCTATGTATAAAAAAAGTCAATATATATAATTTATATATAAATATAAGACACCCTTTCAATGTGTTGCTACACCAGAAGTTATAGGAATGATTATTAGAGATAAACTTAAAGTCAATGTGACATAAACATATACTAGTATTAGAAAGGCCAAAATATGAATAGTTCTAAATATTCCAAAAAACAATAAAAATGTTTGCCTCATTGACCTTTTACTCGAATATTAATTTTTATGTGCCGTTAAGTTTTTCCATCTTTATGTTTTGATCCACCCCACCAATAGCATGATATTGAATTAGATAATGTTTTTGTTGTCCTAGATCATTCTTACTTTATTCCTATTTTACACATTCAAACTTATTTTTTTTTGTAATAGTTGCACTTTTTTCTCATACCAAACATAATTAGATGGAGGTACTACAAGTTATGATTAACAATCAATTAAGGGGTGTTTGGAACTAATTTTGTTTCTGCTTCTTTTTTCTACCTGTGATTCTTTTTTAAACCAGAATCAGAATCAATTTCACCCAAACTTCTTCTAAGAGCAATTTGGAGAGCACCGAGAGTACTTTTGCACCTTCACCCAAACACTTCATATTTGTTTTTGCTCCCTGAAAGAGCAGAAGTAGTTTCAAAAAAGTAGATCCAAACACTCCCTAAATTAACAAGATTTTTTTAAGACATTACTATGCGTAAGTTTTATACTCGTAGTCACTACGATGTAACATTTGAATATAATTAGTCATTAATGTTACTAAAGTCACATTTTTGTCTGCTACTTCTATTTTTGTTATATATTTGGAATTATTTCTTAAAATTAACTCTTCAAGATCTCCGCCAATGCAAACCCAATGTCAATGCTGCTGCCACCAGCCCTCAAACAGCCAAAAGCCAATGTTGTCGCTGCCCCGCTCCATTAACCTTCCGATGATACTGCTACCCCCCAGCCTATGATTGTCACAGCACAAAACTCATTGACACCTAGTGGTGGACTCGGGCCGGGCGGCCCGGCCCGGTTACTGTTTGGCCTGGCCCGGGGCCCGGTGGGTCCACCGGTTCGGTTCGGCCCGGCCCGGCTGCTGGGCGGTTCGGGCTCGGGCCCAGTTTTTGGTGAACCGGCCCGGCCGGTTCGGGCCGGTTTTTAGTTTTTTTTTTTTTGAATTTTTTTTGAATTTTTTTTAAGTTTTGGGTTGGATTAGGTATTTTGGGCCATTTGAGATGGTTTGGGGTGGTTTGGGGTTGAGGGGGAGGGGTTGGGGGTTAAATAGAAGAGCCAAAAAAAAAAATTAGAACCGGTTGGGCCCGTCCCGGTTTGGCCCGGAACCGGAACCGGAACCGCCCACCGGCGGTTCGGGCTCGGGCCCAACTTTCCTGGCCCGAGGCCCGGCCGGGCCCGAGTCCACCACTATTGACACCCTTGCAAGTTGCAACCGTCATCGCTTGATATCCATTGTCGCCGGCCTCACCAACTCCTTGGAAATGCTCGCAATGTAAAACCCTACTTATGCCCCAGACCCTGTCTATCAACTTCTAAAGTGACCATGCCTGAAATGATGCAGTTAATGGTGACCCTCTCCCCACCCGGTATGGCTGGACTCGGGCCGGTTCGGGCCCGGTTCGGGCCTGGGCCCGGCTAGGGATGGACCCGGGCCGGTCCGGTTCCGGTTCCGGGCCGGGCCCGGGCGGGCTTTTTTTCGGGGTAACATGGGCCCGGAACCGGCCCGGGTTGATACCGGGTCCGGGCCTAACCGGGCCGGGCCGGGCCCGGTTCAATGTTTTTTTTTTTTGACTTTCTTATCTCACTACCCCCCCCCCCCTCACCCCCACGCCCCAAACCTCCCTAAAACACCCAGCCCTACCCTAGGAAAAGAAAAACAATTGAAAAAACCAAAAAATAAAATAAAAATGAACCGGGCCCGGCCCGAACCGCCCGGGCCGGTTCAACAAAAATAGGGCCTGGAACCGGCCCGCCCGACCCGCCAACACGGGCTAAAAGCCCGGAACCGGCCAACCGGGCCCGGTCCGGTCCGGGCCCGCACAGTAGCGGGCCGGTCCGGTTCCGGGCCGGTTCGGCCCGGCCCAGTCCATCCCTAGGCCCGGCCGGGCCTCGGGCCAGAAAATTGGGGGCCGAGCCCAAACCGCCGGTGGCCGGTTCCGGGCCAAACCGGTCCTTTTTTTTTGTTCTCCTATTTAACCCCCTACCCCTCCCCCTCAACCCCAAACCACCTCAAATGGCCCAAAATACCTAATCCAACCCAAAACTTAAAAAAATTTCAAAAAAAAAAAATAAAATCCGGCCCGGACCGAGCCCGGACCGCCCATCACCCGAGCCGGGCCAAACCGAACCGCTGGACCCACCGGGCCCCGGGCCGGGCCGGGCCAAACAGTAACCGGGTCGGGCCGCCCGGCCCGAGTCCACCCCTACCACCCGGCATTTGCTCTTCCACAGGCCACAGCCATCACTGTTTTCACTATCCAAAGACCGCTTGTAGAGTTGATGAATGAATTCCATACCCTCGAACATTCTGGTAAACAATGTGAATGGCTAAGTACCCATATGTTAAGCGTTATGGCATGTTCTCTTTGCCAGAAAAAGTGTGATATAATCCAAACTTATCTGGAGTGTTCTTATCTAATGCTTCAGGACTATTAGTGAGTGAATGTTCATGATCTCGCTGAAATTTCTTATCTGAAACATAATATTGGAACTAAACAACTCTAGTCTAACTTTTTTGTGCCTGGTCTGAAGGTTTTTTTGTTTGGTCTGGTCTATCTAAAATGAAAATAAGTTGTTGTAAAAATTGATGAACCTGCAGAACTTCATGAAACAAAAAACGTCCAGTAACCTCAATTTCAACTAAATAAGCGAGAACTGGCCAGTCTAAAACTCTAATAGTTTTTATTGATACTGTTTCAGAAACCTGAAATTAAGAAGAAAATCATGTTCTCATAGAAGTTCATCCACATGACAAAACTAACCTGATAGGCAGTCAAAGACTTAATGTCACAGATGACAGTTCAAACTTCTAAGCAAAGAAAGAAACTGCAACCTCAAAAAAATTGTGAAGCCAATGTACTACCTTAGTCCTTGATGTGAAAATAAAAGGCTCCACAAGCTCAATCATTAAATTAAGGAAACCAAATAACATTACCCTACATTTATCAGCATCATCTATCTTGTCTCCTTTATGGGTCACTATGGGCCAGAATGCAGAAACCATTCTTCCCAGGTTCCTGAGCAGATGCTTCATTGGAGCAATGGTTCTTCAGAACGGTTGCAATATCAGACTCAGAAGCACCAGCAAGCTTAAACCGCTCAACAGCAGTGTCACGGTTCTTCACCCAACCTTTCAAGCCCAACTTACACTCAACTTGGGACCGCTCGAAGAGCATATTGCCCCAAAACAAATGTATTTGAGATCTCATCACAGCAGCCTGTTCTGCTGCTTCTTCGGGCGAGATTTCAATTTCAACATCAGAAGGACCACTCCCCTGCTTCTTTTTTCTTCTTACTACTTCATCTTTCTTGTTTCCATTAGGATCCTTCAACTCCTTGGCCCTCTCTTCTTCATGCTTCTCCCACATCTCGGTCGCCACGTTCATTTTTTCCTCAGCGATGTCAAAAAGCTTGAACGTCTCAGTTGGGTCCCACTTTGAGAGGTCTTCCTTCTTAGCCAAAACAAATGACCAGTGGAGCTTAGCCATTTCAAACTGCTGCTGCCCGAGAGCCAGTAAACCCTCATAGAAGTCAGGTTTGATCATAAGGGCCTGCTCATATTTCTCTTTGGCTAAAGAATATTTGTCTCTCACCCAGTCATAAGCAGACTGAAGATGCGAAGTCAACAGTTCCTTTGACCCTGGATCCTCAATGGGTATCCGCTTCCTTGCGGCACACATGTGGACGTTTCCCCAGTTGAAAAAAGCCAGTGCAGCCACTTCTTGAAACTTTAATGCCGCTTTGTCAAACAGAGCTTGAGCCTCTTCACTGGTCACTGTCTCCTCAAGTGCTTCTGAACAAAGCTCCATCCCAAGTTCATGAAGATCTATATGAGCGTCTGGGTCAATCCCTACATGGGTCCGGAACAACTGAGCAAACTCAAATAGCCAATCGTCCATCTCTACTTCCTTCATCTCCAGATCTCCTGGCATTGCAGATTTCACCTTCCCAGTGACATTTTCTGATTTAGCAATGACACTTTCAACAACAGTGTCACTGTCAACAACAACTTCACTGTCAATGGGCTTCTCCTCTTCCTCTTCCAATAAAGGTGGCTCTTGTTCAGAACTCACCTCAACAATATGCAATCTCAGAAGCCCTACAGGGTCGGCAACAACAAAGGACTCCGCTAATCTTAGTCCAGATGTGCATGTGATAGTGACTAAATCACCATCACCATCCTTGTACTTGATCAGAACTGACTTTGACATTGGGAAGCATTTGGCAACGACATCTCTCAACACCCTGAGACTGCAATTTTCAGGCATTTGTGCAAGACGTATGTCATGATCATAAACAAGCTTTAGTGGCCTCCAATGGATAACAGCTGGTTTTGACTGCACACGAGTAGTGATTGACTGTTCTTTTTTGTCATCATTGATTGGATTTTGATTAGGCTTGGAAGGACTAACTGAAGGCTTTAAGACAACCATAGGCAATGGAACTTTAGATTGAGAGACATTCTCAGTTGTAGGCTGAACTGGATTATGCTTAATATTACTAGGAGGTAGCACAGAAGTCCCAGTTGAAGTTACTGGCTTCTTGGTTCCTGGTCTAGCAGGCAGACATGGGCCAAGGCCCGCAATTGGAGCTGAACCCACTGCAGATGCACCAAGGGCAGCTGGTGATGGACGGCTCTGAAGATCCTGTTGGGCTTCTTGACGAGGCCCAATAGCCGCACTCAACCGCGCAGCGAAATCTAAAGCATCCTGATGACTAGGTTCAGCTTTCAACAGCATCTGCACATCTTGCATCGCCATATCATGCTTCCCAATTCCCTCGTAAGCACGGGCTCTGCGGAGAAGAGCGCGGCTGAACTTTGGCTGAACCTGGAGGGCCATCGTGCATTCAGAAATCACGGCTTCATAGTTTACTGGCTTCATCTGCAACAAACAAGCAGCCCTGTTGCTATGAAACACGGCTATGTCAGGGTGTGTTTTGGGTGTCAGTTTCAGGGCATTCTCATATTGCTGAAGAGCACCCACAAAGTCCTTGGCCTGAAATCTCTTGTTCCCCTCTTCTTTGAGCTCAAGAGCTCTTTGCAGGAAATCTGATGAGGCTAAGTCAACACTTCCATTAACAACATGTGTTTGGCCATTGCTCCCTCCCGTCCCCTGGTTCTGGGTAATACCTGCCCTCTTTTTCCTTCCTGATTTCCCCATATATACCCCTCAAAACTATCCAAAGATTCGAACTTTATTGTCTACAAGAAAATGAGTTTGATGTGAATCCTTCTGTTGAAGAATGCGTAACTGTTTAAAACTTAAAACTAAAATTTGGTTTACAGAAACTATCGCGGATACTGGAGATGGTGGAAGATTTACTTACATGTGTCGATATCACAGTCCGGCGCAGAATTGAATTCTTTCTGACTGGGTTATGAACACGCGGATGCTGGATTGTGATGAATGAAGGGGTTACCGAAATGGGTCTTTCTGTCTGACTGTCTAGAGAAATGCACTAGTGAGTAGTGATTGAGCTTTGTGAATATGGGTGGATTCGATGTTTGAAACCCTAGATACCAACACCGTATTTGTTGGATTTTGAAGGGGAAAAAACGTATGTCCCTTCGGGTTCGGGTCTAAGTATTCTTGGACTAATAACTTTGTGTATGCGGTCTGGACTTGTCTATATGGTCTTCACTTATTAATATTCTTTTGATTCAATTTTTTTAAATGTAAATTGATTAGGTTGAAATTAACAAAGTAAAGATTATTATATTTAAACTTTGTCACTCACAAATCAATCGTAAAAGTTGTTAATTATGTAACAGACAAATAGAAGTTTAATTCGATCGTTGTCCATCTCCATGCAGAAAACGTACAACTTCTCTACAAAATTTAAAATGAATTATGAACGAATAATACAAAAACGCATAAATATGTGGAATTATATATAGGATTGAAACAAACCATCAATGTAGATTCATGTAGTGCCCTTGCTTGATTTCACTTGACTTGTACCCTAATTTAAACATTTGTTTATATTATTATAGTTCACTCACTTTGTTTTTTTTAGTCACTCCGTCCCTTCTCTTGTTCTTCACCAATGAATAAGAGAAGAGCAATGATGGAAATCAGTAAGGATGAGATATGGTGATAACTCTAAGCTAGTGCTTGGGCAATGTCGAATAAACTCTACCAACTCTACCACAATAAATCATACTCCGTATGAAAATTCCTCAAATTTAGATCATATTATGGATGGAAAGCAAATTTTGTGGGATTGGATATTATTACCATATCATATGCATCAGGATTCAGGAATGTTTTATTAGCATACGTTAAAGAGCTCTTCATGGTATCGGAGCTTCCAGACCGTTAATAGGTGACTTATCTGGCAATCTGGCATCCAAAACTGATCATACATTGGAATTTTTTTGGACCATAGACCAATCATGATATTTCATTACTCCGGTACGGTTAACCAGCAAAAACTATGATGAATGGTCGTGTTCAATTCGGGGGGCACTCCAGGCAAGAAAAAAGTATAAGTTTGTGGATGGTAGCATCCTCAAACAAAAGAACTTGAGTGCAGTGGACGACTAGACAACAATTCACTCCATGTTTGCGCTCCTACTAAGACTCTAGACCTTGTGTTGTGGATGCGGAAGACCCGCATCCTCATGCACTTGTGTTGTGGATGCGGAAGACCCGCATCCTCATGCACTTCTAAATCTTATGCTCATACTACTCGTCTCCATTGTTCTAAAAATCGTCATAGTCGGACGGATTAATCGACACCTAGGCGCTAGGCGTTGAGTAACTATGAAGGACTAATCGGCCTAGTCAGCAAAAAAATGGGCTAAACAGTGCTTAGGCGTTGGGCGCCCCTCAATCGCCTCACAGTGCTTAACGAGTTCTAGAACAGAGCTCGTTTCCAAATCCTTTGTAAGAAAAAACTTATGATTTCTCTCCTTAAGGCAGTCACATTGTAATGCTTATTACCGTTGAAAATGAGGCCCAGAATTAGGCCATTTTAATTTTTCGCCTCGAGACCTTTGAACATACAGGGCCGCCCCTGGTCTTACGTACACAGAATTATCTGTTCACATCAAATTTTATGGTGTACGACAATTCTACAGAATTGTCTGTGAACAGGCGAGTGTACGAATGGTGTACACCAAAATGTGTACATGGGTCATTAGGTTAGCCCTTATATCTTACTACCTCCGTCCCGAAAAGGTTCGCCGTATTGATTTTTTTATTGGCAAACTATGGATAATGATTTTAATTATCATTTTTATACATAATCTAAAAAATTTATACTTTTATGAAAGTATTTTGCATAAGCAACATTTTGATATAATTCTTTTATTCAAAATAATTTCGAATCAAAAAATATCATTAGTCAAAATCGATTGTCATTGATCAAGAAAAATCAATTTGACGAACCTTTTCGGGACAGAGGGGATAATTTTTTGTCATCCACGCACCGGCACAACCTCCCTCTTAAGGTAACTTAAGAGCCCGTTTGGTATCACGAAAATCGGCTGATTTGGCTGATTCTGCTGAAATTTATGAAGTTCTGACTGAAGTGGCTGCATTGGCTGATTCTGCTGATATAAGAAAAAAATTAGTTTTAAAATATATTTTATTAATAAAATAAAGAAAAATTATATGTAAAAATAACTAAAATGATCATCTACAGTTACTTCAGCCAATACAGCCAGAAAATTAACTTCAACCTTACTTTTTCTGCTTATTACACGATTGAGTGCGCGAAAGCAAAAATTATATGTTTGGTGAAAAAGCTGGTCGATAAGCCTGATAAGCTGAAAAGCAGTGCTACCAAACATGCTCTAAGCGAAATTTTAAAAAATATGTCATTGTTCTTCAATTCTTATCATTGTTTGAGAACACGGAAATTCGAATATATCTTGGATTCGTAGGAATCTTGCAACCTGGGGAATCAAGGGCGGAGCCAGAGCAATGGATCGGACTGAACCGGTACGAGGAATAATTTTGGAAGAAATTTTACACATTATTTTAAACCTTAAAAATTAAAGTGTTTTTTAAATTTGGTTGGGCTAGGGTCTAGGTCCCCCCTCTCCCACCCCTCTAACTCCGCCCCTGCCTGGAATCCATGGATGTGAATATTGTGTGAGTGACATTATTGATACTTGAATTTGAGTTTTCACTTTTAGAGCCCGTTTAGTGCTTCATATTTTCACTTTTTATTTCGTGCGCTGAATTGTGTAGTAATCAAAATAAATAAGGTTGAAGTTATTTTTGTGGTTGAATTTATGTAGAAACCATTTCAAATAATTTTTCATAAAACTTTTTCCTAATTTTATTAATAAATTATGTCTTAAATATAGTTCTTTATATTCAACTAATTCAACCACTTCAGCCAGAACTTCATCCATTTCAATATAGCCCGATTCAGTTAATTTTAATATTATCAAACATACTTTTGCCACTTTAGTAATGTATGTGACTATTGTAAAAGCATCACTTTACTACCTATTAAAAGTGTTACTCGTTTAATAAGAACATGATAGTCATAGAGGGCAAAAACTATAATAGACATTTCTATCAAATGATAACCTACTATATCTGCCGGCAAGACAGAACTTGCATAAAATGCGCTAACAACCAAACTCACTATTTGCATTTTGTATATATACTCGTACTACATTACTGCCTGACAATTATTAAGAAAAACACAATTCAAAGTTTTATATCAAGCTTAGCTAGCAAACTAGTTTGATAATAAGTGCGGTTACAAAAACTGCAGAAAATTAAGTCAACCAAAATATACTCACTGACACACAACCAGTTGGAGAAGTTACCAAATCCCGTGCAAGTCTAAAACATAAATCTAAGTCTTATACCAACTTACCAAGCCCTAACTAGCAAACTAGTTTGATGATAAGTTTGATATATGAATGCAAAATAGATACTCCCTCCGGTTTTTATTAAACTTCAGACTTTGACTTCACACAAAATAAAGAAAGAAATTTGATTTTACTGTAGAGTACACTGTTAAGGAACTGTTTGACACTGTTGAGACACTGTTTGGCACTGTTGAGACACTGTTTGGCACTGTTGAGACACTGTTTGGCACTGTTGAGACACTGTTTGGCACTGTTGAGACACTGTTTGGCACTGTTGAGACACTGTTTGGCACTATTTTGATGTAGATATCTTTGCCAAAAAAGGAAATAAGGAAGTGTGAAGTTTATTTTAGACCGTCCCAAAAAAGAAAGTGTGAAGTTTATTAAAAACCGGAGGGAGTATTAACTAGCTTGACACACTAAACATTCAAACGGCTAAAGTGAATTGTTTTTGTTTATGTCATTTAATTTCTCCTTTGTTTCCTTGTGTAGGTCTTGGTCTAGTCCCCTACCTCGTATGCTTCCTTAATCAATAAATCAGTAAGGTGTTCCCCGATTCTTATCGCATCATAGGAGTACTAAATTGTAACTGTTGATTGGTATAGTTAACTGATGTGCCATTATTTATACACTCAAATTAAATTGGGGGTTACACCTCATAGGCAACAACTGAACATCTTGGGCCCAAATTCATTTTTCAAAACCTTGAAAGACCGAATCTAACCACGAATATTTCAATCTGTTCACAGACTATATTGATAGTCACAGCCAAAATATCGGATTCACAACTCTTATTCAACTAATACAGAAAAATAAAGAAATGAACACACGATATGTTGACGCAGTTCGGATAAATCCTACTCTGTGGGGTTTCAACAGGGGAAACCCGGTCCCAAGAATCCACTAGCTCAGAAAAGTTTGAATACAAAGATGGTTGCAAAGCAAGACCAGAAATCAATAAGATCCAACACACAAGAATCAGCCAAAACTCAAGCAATACAACTAAAATAGTAAAAGGAATAGAAATAACCGAACAAAGCTTCAGAAACCCAGGTGTATCAGATTCTTGGAAACGAACCAACAGCCCAGCGTTCCAGCTTCTCCACACGATTGATCTCCAACCTTTCTCAGCTTGCTTTGACCTCAAGTGAAGTAGAATCGAACGAACAGAAGAAAAAACCAGAGGTTTCTCTCTCTTCAACGCTCAAGCTCTCAGACTCGCCTTTTTGGACTTAGGGTTTCAAATGACGCAAAAGATATCTCCAGAAGGAAGGAAGGAGACGTCTTATATGCAAATCAAAAGAGCTGGGTCAAAGATATAGAGAATGGACTGGACTTTTCTAAAACAGGCCCAAACCAAAATATAAAGGCTGAAACGGGCCAGACCTAAATTATTCTTAATCTTGCTTTACCTTCCGATCTAAGCATTTAACATCATGGATAAATATAACCAGAATTAGGATTACAAATATAACAATTTGCCCTCCTAAGACCAATTCTGGTGCAGCACAGCTCATTAGAGCTTTTATCATCATTGCTAGTATCAGGATTCAAGAGACCAGATTATACCCTTTCATCATTAACCCAACAAGTACCCTCATGTTCAAGGTACTTCAAAGACTTTGAAGAACTGCCTGCAAAACAAAAACTTAGCAACAGGAACAATTTTAGTACCAAAATCAGCAGGATTAACATCTCCAGTAATCTTATCAATTTTTATGTTGCCTTTAGAAATCTCATCCC